ATTTCACACATGGCACTGATTTCAACGTCTAGACTGGAAACAGGCATGTTATGGATTATATCGACAACCAATCGGGATAAGCAAGACAATCCTGTGTGCGGAGGTGTCCAAGTAAGACATCCTGTGTGCGGAGGTGTCCAAGTAAGACATCCTGTGTGCGGAGGTGTCCAAGTAAGACATCCTGTGTGCGGAGGTGTCCAAGTAAGACATCCTGTGTGCGGAGGTGTCCAAGTAAGACATCCTGTGTGCGGAGGTGTCCAAGTAAGACATCCTGTGTGCGGAGGTGTCCAAGTAAGACATCCTGTGTGCGGAGGTGTCCAAGTAAGACATCCTGTGTGCGGAGGTGTCGATGTACGTAAGTCATCCTGTGTGCGGAGGTGTCCAAGTAAAACATTCTGTGTGCGGAGGTGTCCAAGTAAGACATCCTGTGTGCGGAGGTGTCCAAGTAAGACATTCTGTGTGCGGAGGTGTCCAAGTAAGACATCTCGAGTGCGGAGGTGTCCAAGTAAGACATCCTGTGTGCGGAGGTGTCCAAGAAAGACATCCTGTGTGCGGAGGTGTCCAAGTAAGACAATCCTGTGTGCGGAGGTGTCCAAGTAAGACATCCCTTGTGCGGAGGTGTCCAAGTAAGACATCTCGAGTGCGGAGGTGTCCAAGTAAGACATCCTGTGTGCGGAGGTGTCCAAGAAAGACATCCTGTGTGCGGAGGTGTCCAAGTAAGACAATCCTGTGTGCGGAGGTGTCCAAGTAAGACATCCCTTGTGCGGAGGTGTCCAAGTAAGACATCCTGTGTGCGGAGGTGTCCAAGTAAGACATCCTGTGTGCGGAGGTGTCCAAGTAAGACATCCTGTGTGCGGAGGTGTCGAGGTACGTAAGACATCCTGTGTGCGGAGGTGCCCATTTAAGACATCCTGTGTGCGGAGGTGCCCATTTAAGACATCCTGTGTGCGGAGGTGTCCAAGTAAGTCATCCTGTGTGCGGAGGTGTCAAAGTAAGACATTCTGTGTGCGGAGGTGTCCAAGTAAGACATCCTGTGTGCGGAGGTGTCCAAGTAAGACATTCTGTGTGCGGAGGTGTCCAAGTAAGACATCTCGAGTGCGGAGGTGTCCAAGTAAGACATCCTGTGTGCGGAGGTGTCCAAGTAAGACATCCTGTGTGCGGAGGTGTCCAAGTAAGACATCCTGTGTGCGGAGGTGTCCAAGTAAGACATCCTGTGTGCGGAGGTGTCCAAGTAAGACATCCTGTGTGCGGAGGTGTCCAAGTAAGACATCCCGTGTGCGGAGGTGTCCAAGTAAGACATCCTGTGTGCGGAGGTGTCCAAGTAAGACATCCTGTGTGCGGAGGTGTCGAGGTACGTAAGACATCTCGAGTGCGGAGGTGCCCATTTAAGACATCCTGTGTGCGGAGGTGCCCATTTAAGACATCCTGTGTGCGGAGGTGCCCATTTAAGACATCCTGTGTGCGGAGGTGTCCAAGTAAGACATCCTGTGTGCGGAGGTGTCCAAGTAAGACATCCTGTGTGCGGAGGTGTCCAAGTAAGACATCCTGTGTGCGGAGGTGTCCAAGTAAGACATCCTGTGTGCGGAGGTGTCCAAGTAAGACATCCTGTGTGCGGAGGTGTCCAAGAAAGACATCCTGTGTGCGGAGGTGTCCAAGAAAGACATCCTGTGTGCGGAGGTGCCCATTTAAGACATCCTGTGTGCGGAGGTGTCCAAGTAAGACATCCTGTGTGCGGAGGTGTCCAAGAAAGACATCCTGTGTGCGGAGGTGTCCAAGTAAGACAATCCTGTGTGCGGAGGTGTCGATGTACGTAAGTCATCCTGTGTGCGGAGGTGTCCAAGTAAAACATTCTGTGTGCGGAGGTGTCCAAGTAAGACATCCTGTGTGCGGAGGTGTCCAAGTAAGACATTCTGTGTGCGGAGGTGTCCAAGTAAGACATCCTGTGTGCGGAGGTGTCCAAGTAAGACATCCTGTGTGCGGAGGTGTCCAAGAAAGACATCCTGTGTGCGGAGGTGTCCAAGTAAGACAATCCTGTGTGCGGAGGTGTCCAAGTAAGACATCCCTTGTGCGGAGGTGTCCAAGTAAGACATCCCGTGTGCGGAGGTGTCCAAGTAAGACATCCTGTGTGCGGAGGTGTCCAAGTAAGACATCCTGTGTGCGGAGGTGTCCAAGTAAGACATCCTGTGTGCGGAGGTGTCCAAGTAAGACATCCCGTCTGCGGAGGTGTCCAAATAAGACATCCTGTGTGCGGAGGTGTCCAAGTAAGACATCCTGTGTGCGGAGGTGTCCAAGTAAGACATCATCCTGTGTGCGGAGGTGTCCAAGTAAGACATCCTGTGTGCGGAGGTGTCGAGGTACGTAAGACATCCTGTGTGCGGAGGTGCCCATTTAAGACATCCTGTGTGCGGAGGTGCCCATTTAAGACATCCTGTGTGCGGAGGTGTCCAAGTAAGACATCCTGTGTGCGGAGGTGTCCAAGTAAGACATCCTGTGTGCGGAGGTGTCCAAGTAAGACATCCTGTGTGCGGAGGTGTCCAAGTAAGACATCCTGTGTGCGGAGGTGTCCAAGTAAGACATCCTGTGTGCGGAGGTGTCCAAGAAAGACATCCTGTGTGCGGAGGTGTCCAAGAAAGACATCCTGTGTGCGGAGGTGCCCATTTAAGACATCCTGTGTGCGGAGGTGTCCAAGTAAGACATCCTGTGTGCGGAGGTGTCCAAGAAAGACATCCTGTGTGCGGAGGTGTCCAAGTAAGACAATCCTGTGTGCGGAGGTGTCGATGTACGTAAGTCATCCTGTGTGCGGAGGTGTCCAAGTAAAACATTCTGTGTGCGGAGGTGTCCAAGTAAGACATCCTGTGTGCGGAGGTGTCCAAGTAAGACATTCTGTGTGCGGAGGTGTCCAAGTAAGACATCCTGTGTGCGGAGGTGTCCAAGTAAGACATCCTGTGTGCGGAGGTGTCCAAGAAAGACATCCTGTGTGCGGAGGTGTCCAAGTAAGACAATCCTGTGTGCGGAGGTGTCCAAGTAAGACATCCCTTGTGCGGAGGTGTCCAAGTAAGACATCCCGTGTGCGGAGGTGTCCAAGTAAGACATCCTGTGTGCGGAGGTGTCCAAGTAAGACATCCTGTGTGCGGAGGTGTCCAAGTAAGACATCCTGTGTGCGGAGGTGTCCAAGTAAGACATCCCGTCTGCGGAGGTGTCCAAATAAGACATCCTGTGTGCGGAGGTGTCCAAGTAAGACATCCTGTGTGCGGAGGTGTCCAAGTAAGACATCATCCTGTGTGCGGAGGTGTCCAAGTAAGACATCCTGTGTGCGGAGGTGTCGAGGTACGTAAGACATCCTGTGTGCGGAGGTGTCCAAGTAAGACATCATCCCGTGTGCGGAGGTGCCCATTTAAGACATCCTGTGTGCGGAGGTGCCCATTTAAGACATCCTGTGTGCGGAGGTGTCCAAGTAAGACATCCTGTGTGCGGAGGTGTCCAAGTAAGACATCATGTGTGCGGAGGTGTCGAGGTACGTAAGACATCCCGTGTGCGGAGGTGCCCATTTAAGACATCCTGTGTGCGGAGGTGCCCATTTGAGACATCCTGTGTGCGGAGGTGTCGAGGTACGTAAGACATCCCTTGTGCGGAGGTGTCGAGGTACGTAAGACATCCCTTGTGCGGAGGCGCCCATTTAAGTCATCCTGTGTGCGGAGGTGAATGTTGAATAACTGACTTATATCTTAAACGCTTTGCGACACAGTTAGAATTTGTAAAAGTCATCTTAGTGGGATCCGTGACATGATGTCAAATAGCAACGCATGCTTCCGACTAACGAGATCAGGTGGTCAGGCTTGCTGACTTGATTCGAATGCAGACCCATGTGATACAAATGTAATTTTACTGATTATAGACCAATGCGATACAAATGTAATATTAACGAATGCAGACCAATGCGATACAAATGTAATTTTACTGATTATAGACCAATGTGATACAAATGTAATATTACTGATTATAGACCAATGTGATACAAATGTAATATTACTGATTATAGACCAATGTGATACAAATGTAATATTACTGATTATTGACCAATGTGATATAGTTTTAATATTACCGATCAATAAATATTACATATTACAACCAACGCCTCAATTCCTGCTTATACTATATTTAGAAATTAATTTGTAAGGGCAACATAACATCACAGATTCAGATTTAGACGATGCTAGTAAATCGTTGATGAGAAAAGTTATAACGCACATATCACATTAGCTTTTGACGAGGCCTTCAGGTATTAATACCTATCACCTATGTAACAGGATATTACGTGTTGAATACCACACCGTGTAACATGTAAGGTTATCCCGAGTAATATACCCCGTATACTCCCAGTGCTACACCCCTCGTATACTAAACTCGTGATCATTGAAATATTTATAAAGATGTAGACTTGCTCAGGCTGTTTGGAATAAAGCCCGCCGCCATATATCGCACAGCTGCCTTGCGCCGAGTGTTTAAAGGGTGTCTGCATAAGGCCTCTTTCATAATAGAGGTATACACCCACTGAATTACACAGCACTGGAACGCTTTCACTGCGATGTCAGATAAGCGGTGGTATGTTTATAACAGTAAAACCTACTGCCATTATTCAAATCTATATTTGGAGTGAGGGAGTGAGTGTACAGCATTTATTATATGATATTGAACCGTGTTCATAATATTCATATATATTGATATAATGTTCAATATTATGCATTCACAATATGAAATACTATATGATAACATTCAAAACGAATTTCCTTAAAAATGTGCAATCGGGAATCATTTCTTAAACAGGCCATTTCGTGGAAAATGAGAATTCGCGTAATTGTTGGATTAGTTTAACATTAAGTGGAAAAGGATTGTCGGAATGTCAACGCTTGGTAGGAATATATGAGTTACACTTACACCACATTTATGTATAAATTATAAGGTATCTTTAACGGTACGTCAAGTCTATCGATCACACCTATACGAAAGGTATCAGTTTCTGTGCTATGTTACAGCATACGGCAGGGAGCTTGTGACAGCCTTCATCTACCGCTAGAGGGAGCTATAGAAAGAAAGTCCAGTTGATACACTCGGTGTCACGAATGCGTAATAACTCCAGTCTACACCAGCAGAAATACTGATTCAATGGATGACTGACTTCGAGGGCCGTGGGGGGGACGAGAAATATACAACTGGGTGTTCATCAACGGTTTATATTTGCCAGACAAGTTTGGAGGATTATATCCGCTTTAAGGGGGCGTATCCACAGTGCGTGTATTTGACTTGATTTGAAAACAACGCCTTTGACAGATTCTGTTTCTTAACGAAGATGATCCAACACTAGAGGTAAGTCATGTGCGCAGTTTGTAAGATTCTCGGTCAGCAAAATGGCTGGTTGGTGAAAATGACACTGTTCCAGTTTAGCTTGAGGGACTTGTTGACCTTTGACCCGTCGTGTTGTACGCGAGCAGCGGATATGTTGTCGTTGACTGTCGCGCTCATGAAAAGTGTTGTATTTGTGAGTGTGTTTGAGGCAAAGAAAACATAGCTAGGGAAATATATATACAGTGTACGTGACAACGAAGAGAAAGCGTGCAGTGTCACAGAGTCATAAATCATTGCACTCAAACAGGAAGCTACCTGCATGCACATGTTGTGACGTAAAGTAAAAAGACAAACTTAAAATAGGACAATTTGACATGAAATTATTAAATATCAAGTGGTTACATGGTGTTATCGAGAGGGTGATAACAGTAAGCCCACGTGCATTATCAGTGAACATGACCTCTCTGATTGGCTACATGGTATAATCAACGAGGAAGCACGGGCTATAGTACGGATACGGGCACTTCACAAATTGTGTTCATTTGAACAATCTCTCTGTAGCTGACCCATGCTGATTAGTTAGCGATAACGGATAATCCGTCATTGCGAATAACGAATAAATTAGTCTATTGATTATAGACCCAGCGGTGATCTCTATTGAGTAACTTACTATAAAAGCATATAAGACCACTCTATACAAGGGGGCACGGGTGGCCCAGTCGTCTAAGGCGCCGCAATTCGCTGTGCAGAGTTGCGTCCCTTAGGACGCCAGAAACCTATGATTGTGGGTTCGAATCCCGGTTCGCCCCGATTATGTTTCTAGGTTTGTCGTGCTGTGGGTGTCACCGAAGTGGTAAACGTCTGAGATCACTTCTGGCTTTCCACCCACATTAAGCTGACACGCCGTGATATACCTGGAATACTGTTAAAAGCGGCGTTAAACCTAACTCACTCACTCACTCCACCCTATACAAAACAGGGAAGGTGGGGTATCCTTGTTATTTAAGCTTTCGCTCGTCACGCCGAAGGTTCCCCACCTGGGTCCAATGTGTGAAGCCCATTTCTAGTGTCCCCGCCATAATATGGCTGGAGTATTGCCCAAAGCGGCGTAAAACCATACTCACCCACTTACTCACTATAACCATGAAGCGAGTGAGTATGGTTTTACGCCGCTTTTAGCAATCCGGGTTCGATTCCCCACAATGGGTACAATGTTTGAAGCCCATCTCTGATGTTCCCCAAAGTGTTATTGCTGTAAAATTATTGCTAAAGCCATACTCACTCACTATAGAAACAGTTACGTCACTTTAGACTAGACTGTAACCATCAGAGATGGGCTTCAAAGATTGTACCCATGTGGGGAATCGAACCCGGATCTACGGCGTGACGAGCGAACGCTGGAACCTCTAGGCCACCACACCGCCCCTGATACCAGGAAACAATGGATGATGTCCTCAGCAGCAAGTATATGGTCAGCGAGAACATGGAGACAAATGGTATACATTGAATATCGTTCCCTGGGATATTCCTGAATTGACGTATGTTATGAACATCATGCTATGGCAGGGGGCACGGGGGCCCAGTCGTTTAAGGCGCCACGATTCGCTGTGTAGGGTTGCGTCCCTTGGGCACGCCAGAAACCTATGATTGTTGGTTCGAATCCCGGTTCGCCCCGATTATGTTTCTAGGTTTGTCAGCACCATACCTGTGCTTGTGGGTTTTCACCGAAGTGGTAAACGTCTGAGACCCGCATCGCTTCGGGCTTTCCTCCCACATTAAGCTGACACGCCGTGATAAAACTGGAATACTGTTACAGGCGGCGTTAAACCCAACTCACTCACTCGTGCTATTGCGCCGTGAATGTAAGGGTTATTTGAACTCATTCATGAAATGATGTAAACCTAAGATCTAGCATTAAAGAATTATTAATCTCCTATTATTAATAATTACCTTTTGTGAAAGAAAATGTTCAGCCATAAGCATTGAATGAATCAACGTGTTCTGATGACGTAAGGTATCATTCTGTGACGCAATGTTTAACGTCATACCGGATTGTTCTGAACAATGCAGCAGTATTATATCACAGTATTATTAGTTTGTGAACCGCTTATACTCACATTTGTAAATATTCGATATCACTTGATCTTGACTAATATCCGTATTGGTGTTATTGTAACTTACGCCACACACATGACAAAGGTCGCATAGCCAAGACAAACAGTTTGTCCCAGAAATAAAAATACCTAATTTAAAATATAGATCTACAAAATATAATATCAAAACCAAATGGACCCCAGAACATTGCTCAATTACAGATTTAAGGCAATCTAGACTTGCCAAATCATTCTAGACTTGAGTTGGATTCATTTCTTAATTTATTCTCTAGGGTCAGGGTGGCAGTCTACATATACTGATATTAAATTTTATTGTCATGCCTTGTGAATGACATATGCATTTTTTTTAGTCTTGACCCTATTATCAATCGGCTGATTGTCTGTAAAACATAAATAATCTTATATATGATTACAACGTCAAAACGTCAACCTCTGTCACATGTAGAAACACGAAAGCACCAAATCCACAGACCCACTGTTTACAAAGGTGACTCCAGGTGTTGAACAAGATGAAAATATCCTGCCCTACTTATGAGAACTACAGAGTGAAGAATCATTGCAAAACTATACTTTTTAAGTGTATAATGAGTGTATATAATACGCGCCGGGCTGTCGCTGTACCGCATGAGATGCGGGTCTTGAAACGATGTACTATTGGCATATTAATCGTGGCATGCCTGAATTCCCGACCTGTTTTGTTATTGAATAGGAAAAGCCGAGTGACTGTAAGAATTGGAACAGTATTTGATGATGAGATGATGATGTGAGAGAATCGATGCTCGTGACGAAAACCTGCACATGGAATTGATTAAGGTTTTTTTTTTTATAATTACCTGTTAATGTACAAAGAAATTAATGAATCCGAAAACCAACGAGGCCGAGTGTTACTATGGAAACCGGCTTCGTGTCAACTGTGAAAACTAAAAATGGACTTCTGATTGCTGACATCATTCATCACGGATTTGTAGCTTGATTAATTCCGTTTGAATTGCATGGGCTCTTACTGGTGTTTTGTCGGAAGTGTAATCTAATGTGTGTTATGTGTACCACGTGATGGCTCATACTTGGCATGGTGGGATATTTTCTTAATTTGAAGGGGGCACGGGTGACCCAGTCGCATAAGGCGCCGCAATTCGATGTGCAGAGATGCGTCCCTTGGGCACGCCAGAAATCTTAGATCTTTGGTTCGAATCCGCCCCGATTATGTGTCTAGGTTTGTTAGCACTGTTCCTATTCTTACAGTATTCCAGTTATATCACGACGTGTCAGCTTAATGTGGGAGGAAAGATCGAAGTGATGCAGGTCTCAGACGTTTACCACTTTGGTGAAACCCACAAGCACGGGTATGGTTAGACAAGCCGAGAAATATTCCGGCAAACAGGGCTTTCAAATTGACATCATAGGTTTCTGTTACACCAAAGGGACGCAACTCTGCACAGTATGATAAAGTCACTATCAAACCGTGTAATGTCACGTATATCATCCATGGTGGGATGATAATTATCCTTGTTCCAGATTCTCTAGCCTTACTTCAAGTCTTAACTGTATGATAACTCCATTGATGTACAGCATTTCTATCCTTATAATAGGCAAGTCTAGATAAGTAGACGCTACGCCAGTCTTTAAAAAGGACAACTTGTTCTTATTATCTATATAATCTAGGAATTATGATTTAAACTAACAATCATTGACTTACAGACGTGTGCAAGTCTACACAGACCCATGCAGTTCCACTACCATGCTACACCAGTCAGAACATATCTCTTTAGCCTTTTTATTTTATATGCATTTTTGTATTGTATATTTTATCACAACAACCACGTACAACGCGACTAGCGGGATCGGGGAGTCAGGCTCACTGACTTGGTTGATGCATGTCATCGTATTCTAATTGCGTGGATCGATGCTCATGACATCAATCACTGGATTGTCTGGTGCAGACTCGATTATTTACAGATCGCCGTCATGTAGTCGGAAGACCTCTTGTGTGCGGAGCTGTATGTTGCATGACTGGCTTATTTCGTCCAGGATCTTGTTTTATGTTATGATTAATTAATCACTTTGCGACACAGCTAAAATTTGTGAAAGTCATTCTTAGTGGGATCCGTGACATGACGCCAAACAGCGATCCATGCTTGTCGTACCTGTTGAACCGTATTGGTGAAAGCTAAAGATAACGAATTGAACGTATGTTTTTAAATACCGTTTGACTTCGTGAAGGGAAGAAAGTACCCAGTGTGAGTGATTTGAAAAATAGCCATTTTCCATCAGTCCCTTGTTGGGTTACCGTCACGTTTTTCATGTGCTTGTTCTAATATGTCAGTATTCTACGTGAAGTCGTCAATTTGATAACTCTTATGGACATGTTGATTGATGGTAAAAGTAGCAACGCATAGCATGCTTTAATACATTCCTACAGTTGCAAGGAAATGAGAGGGCACGGGTGGCCCAGTCGTCTAAGGCGCCGCGATTCGCTGTGCAGAGTTGCGTCCCTTGGGCACGCCGGAAACCTATGATTGTGGGTTCGAATCCCAGTTCGCCCCGATCATGTTTCTAGGTTTGTCAGCACCATACCCGTGCCCGTGGTTTTTACCAAAGTGGTAAACATCTGATACCTGCATCACTTCGGGCTTTCCTCCCACATTAAGATGACACGCCGTGATATAACTGTAATACTGTTAAAAGCGGCGTTAAACCCAACTCCAAAGAAACGTCAGGACGTACAACAGACGTTCATGGTGTTTAGATCGCGGTCAGCTGCCCGTCCTTGAATTGCACGTGTTTGCCTGCGACCTTTAACGGAACATGCACCATACAGGCTGGGAAATACGTATATGTCTTAAAATAGCTGATGGGAAATCCGAAATTTTTGAACAATGGAAAGAACAGATCCGTATTTGAATATAC